TCATCTCCCTATTTTTATTCTCAAAAAGCTCCACCACCTCTTCTTTAATCTGTCGTGCTGTTTTTCCCAAAGCATCCTGTATCTCTTTAAGTGTAAATGCCGGCGGTGGGGGAGAAGGTTGGGGAGACTTAGGCTTGGTTTGCTGTACAGTCTGAGTTACCGGAGAAGAAGTTGAGCCTTTAAGAAGAACAGAAATTCCGAGGCGTTTTGAAGCCAGTTTCAAACTATTTAAAACCACTACTTATAAGTCTTGTATAATCTTATAAAACCAACAATTACAGAAAAAAAGAAGAGGGGGGAAGGTAAAAGCAAACCCCCCCCCGAGTAAAAAAAAGAAGATTCTTGCTTTTTAAGTAAATAGCCAAAATCCATTACATTGTTTAAACTGTATTGCCAAGTGAAAGTCTTTCTTAAAAGTGTCCTTTCAGACAAAGAAGCAGCATTCCTGCGCCATTTTGCTCCTCTTCCTTTTATTAAAATTAATAGGTGGAGAAGATTCTTTTAATTCTTTCCTGAGTTAAAATCCCAAATTCTCACAGTTCCAATCCCTCCTTATCAGCTCCGTCTGCTATTAATTTACTCACAGATTTCTCTAAAGTGCAGATGTGGAGGCAGCATCTAGCTTTGTTCCTGAAAACTCAGGACAAAGACATTCCCAGGGCGGACGGCTAAAGAAAAGCCACCATCGGCACGGCGATCACCACCAGAAGTCCCGATACAGACATTTTCTTAAATTGACCTTCTTCCCATAGGGAGAATCCTGGAAGAAAGAAACATCAGCTACTCTGGACCTTGCTTACTTTATGATACGCTAAACTTTCCAAATGTGAATTCCATCAAACACGCTTGGATTACCTTGGATACAGAATCTCCAGAGAAGGGGTGGAAATGGACCCAGCCAAAGTCAAAGCGAGCTGAAATGGCAGCCCCCATGAACCTGCAAAAAGCTTCAAAACTTTCTGGGGTTTGCAAACTTTTATCAGAAATTCATTCCCTCTTTTGCTAAAATAGCTCTACCGATTACTCAACTACTGAAAACCAGAAAAGGTGGGGGAAACCTTGATCCTGTCAGTCCCTGCCATGGTCTATGGAATGCCAAGCAGCATTCGAGAACATAAAAATACTATTTGCTGCTGAATCTGATCTCAAATTCCCTGATCCTGATGAACAGTTCATAAGTCAAGGTGATGCAAGTGACGTCACAGTGGGAGCAGTCCTTCTGCAAAGAAATCAAAGAGGAGTCCTACAAACCTGCACCTACACCTCCAGGAAATTAACTGACACTGAAAGGCGATGGGCTATATGGAAAAAGGAGGCTTTCATGGTGAAGTGGGCCCTACTAACTTGGCATTATTTCCTTGAGGGGGGAAAAGTGCCTTTTGAAGTGTGGACAGATCATAACAATTTAGAGGCACTAAGGATCCTTCGAAATCTGTCTCCCAAACAAGTCCATTGGGCACAGTACTTTAATCATTTCAATTTCACTCTGAAATACTTCCGGGGGGAAGTGAAATTTGTTAGCTGATGCCATATCGAGGATGCCCCAGTACAAAAGCCACAGACTGTAAATTCTATTAATCTGCTGCCACAATCAGTGTCACAAGTTACTAAGGGCCAAGCCCACATGTAGTCTACCGAGCCAGATATCCCTTTGACAAAAAACTTAGGGAAGAATTAAAAACTAACACTTGGTTCCAGGCAAATAAGATCCTACTGAGCCAAACTGGATGGTTTAGCCTGGAAGGGCTCTAAATTGTACCTGCCCGATACCCTCAGACTTCAGGCACTTCAACGCAGTCACACCAAGCAAGCTGGCCACTTTGGGTTTCTAAAGATATTACATTTGGTCCGAAGGCAATTTTGGTGGCCAGGGATGAAAAAGAACATTGAAAGCTATGTAAAAAACTGTGCCACTTGTACCGCTGTGAAAAAGCAACCTGGAAAACCCCCTAGATTGTTGCAGCAGGTGGCTGACCCTTCTCAACCCTGGGAGGAGATAGCAATGGATTTTATTATTGAATTACATAAAAGGAGGGAAAATCTGATAATATGGACTGTCATTGATCTCTTTTCAAAGCAGGCTCATTTTATAGCCTACTCTGGGCTTGCCTCTGTGAAGAAATTAGCCAGGATGTTTCTGAAACACATATACCGCCTCCATGGAGCTCCAAAGAGGATTATATCAGATAGGAGAGTTCAATTTACTGTGAGGTTTTGGAGACACTTTCTCAAACTAATTGGGTCCACTTAAGAACTTTTGTTGGCTTTTTATCTGAGCATAAATGAATCAGTTGAATGAGCTAACACAATGGTAGAACAATACATCAGATACTACATTGACTACCAACAGACTGATTGGGCTGACCTCCTGCCTTTTGCAGAAGTGGCTTACAATAAGCACAGCAGTACTGGGCTTACTCCACTTAAAATAGCCACTGGCCGAGAGTTTGTTCTTATGCCTGAATACCCCCAAGAACTACCCATATCACAAACTTTAGATCAATGGGTGACATCATGGTAGACTGTTTGAACTATTATAAAAAAAGCTCTAACACAAGATGCAAAAACATACAAGAAACAAGTTAATAAGAAGCGATACCCTCAGAGACCGTTCTGGGTAGTATATATATATATATATATATATATATATATATATATATATATATATATATATATATATATATATGTTGCTAACAAAGAATAAAGAGAGAACTGGGATAACTATTTCGAGTTTCTTAACTCTCTTCAGCCAGACTTACTCTTCTGAGATTTGAACCTGTGCTATATGCATGTTAGGCATGTATAATATTTTATTGGTTTTAAACTATAACAATCTCCAGTGCCTAGTGTACAGTGTGTTGTCTTGGTTTATATTTTAACAAGAAAAAAAAGACAATAATAATTAATTAACAATCAATAATGATTAAATTTGATAATTCCATAATTAATATATTAATTAATGATATATTTCTTTGATCTTCCCTTCTCCCATTTATATTCTCCTTCTTCAACCTGAACCAAAATCTAATTCTTAATATTTTCAATAGATAAATGATTAGATATAGGCATTTTTTATATTTATACAAATAATGATAATCTCTATGTGTAACATTTTTTTCAGCTTATATTATTCTTATAACCATAATCTCATTAGTTCAGCATGCATCCTATTTTCATAATTTTTGTTTACGCTTAATTTCCCTTATATTCAATCCAATTCTTATCAGTCATAATTTCTTCATATGTTTGTCATCTAACTGTCCAAATTTTCCTATTTAGGTACATTATCCCAATATTTTATGTCATGCATTATAAAAATACTATACTCTTAATCTATTTTATAGTATCTAGATATAAATCCTTTTAAATCCGTTTATATTTCACTTATATTAATAAAAGTTACACCAGGATATAGTCCCTTCCCTTCACTTCTGGAGGTTTTCTTGCTTTGAGGATCTTTCTCAAGGATTCAATTTCTAGATAGAAGAAAGAAGATCAGTACTCTCACTAATTTCAAGCACGCTGTTCACCGATGTTCAGGTTCATGCTTTGGGACTTCGGCTGCAAGTAGCTTGGGCTAGACACTGATCTCATGCTAGCCTTTCTCCTGTCAGGTTCAGAGGGCTTCCCCTGAATCAAACAAAGTGATTGCCATCGCTTCATGATCAACGGGGCACCCCTCCTTCACAGTCACATTTTCAGGGTGACTTTGGACCCATCTAGGGTTTCCATGGCAGGACGAAACTAGTCATAGGGAGTGGAGGTCTGCTCTCACATGGCCATGCGCTACGGGTGGAAAACCAGAAATCTATCTTTCAACTAAATATTTAAGACTCAAATTATCTAGCAAGAAACTGGGACCGAAATTTCTTGGTCCTTTTTCTATAGTTAGAATTATAAGTCCTGTGACAGTGGAGTTAAAACTTCCTAACTTGTTGGGGAAGATTCGCCCTGTTTTCCATTGTAGTTTGGTAAAACCTCTCAGAGAGTCATCCTTAAGACTAATATATAAGAAAGTACCTGCTCCCCTTTTGGTTGAGGGGGAGACTCATTATGAAATAAAATGAATCCTTGACTCTAGATTATACAAGGGGAGATTAAAGTACTTAGTACAGTGGAAGGGATATCCATTGTCAGAGGCAATATGGGTGAAAAATACAGACATCAGGGCAGATTGGTTGATAAATTATTTTATGACAAGCATCCCCAGAAACTTCAGGGAGATTCCTAACTTCTCTGTTTATTTCTCTACAGGATTTGTTTTTTTTTCTTTGGGAGGTGGGTCTGACTGTTAACTCTGCAACAAACCTGATGAAGCCATTTGGCTTGTTTTCGGTTGCCACCAGAATGGGAGGATGGTTTTGGAATTTTTCTGTTAGCTTAAAGAATTCTCTGTCCCATGAGAACCAAGATAATTTCTGTTCATTAGACTGGGGGGCTGAGCCTTCTGTTAGAAAGCCTGCCAAACTATCCTATTGGAAAATGTAGTTGATTGCATAGTATTGGGGTGGAAAGTTTACTCTGTATACTGTAATTTTTTGGAGAGAACTTTAGTCTTGGTTTCATCTTTGACAATGCCAATACTTTGTAGCCAATAAACATGTCCTTAAAGGAAAGCTCAAGCCTCAGAATTCTGTTTTAGTTGGTCTCATCTATCAGAACCATAACACTATTATTATATCTTGTTTCAGAAAATAAATTAGTATAAATAATTAAATTATTTGTAAAAGAACAATGTAAAGGATTTCTTTCTGTTTAAAGGTGTACATTATGATGACTTTTCTTGCACATTTTATGTTAGAGTGAGCAAATATTAATAAGGGACTTCCTCTGGGATTCATAATCATCTTGTAAGAATACCAGAAAATCAGTAATCTTAATCTCTCAAGATTAATTTAATTGTTTACAGAAAGCTATTTTTGAAACTGTCTCATAAGATCTAGGCAGTGTATAAAATTTGCCCAGAGTGCAATTTTTTCTGCAATCGCTTTGAGAAATAGCAACATTCAATCTCAGAACACCTATAACAGGTATTTTGTCCAGGTAAATTCTATTTTCAAACATTGATGAATTCACAGATTGTATCAAACTGTAACACATTTTCATTGTGATTTAACACAATCTGGAAGGGGTTATTTTTGTGCTTAGTAAATCCTGATTTATTAAGGAGCCCAACCATTTTGATTTATTTAACAATCCTTTTTAAAATAGAACATGCATTTGAACCATGAGTAAATGTTATAAATGTTATAAATTTAAAGAAGCTAAGAGAGAAGCTAAGTTCTTCTCTTTAGCTCATTTTTGAAAGCCTATGGCAAAGTGCTTTTGTCCTTTGAGGAAAGTAACCTTAAAATTTCCAAAGGGAGATCTTTCTCATATGATCCTGGAATATTATGTATTATGCAATCTTGATCCTCTTGAATACAATATTATAATTTACAGAGCAAGTTGATTAAAGAGCAAATGAAGTAAAATATTTCTCCTTAATACAAGAGCAGAGTCTCATCAAAAGAATGATTGATTATGGTAATTATCAGATATAGACAAGACAAATATAAGGTTACTTGTCAACATTTTATTAAATATATTAAACCAATACCTATTTTTTTTTATTCTTGCAGTTTTCTTGGCAAAAATTTTGGAAATAGTTTCTTGTTGTCTTCTTCCTAGGGATGAAGGAGAGTGACTGGCCCAAGATCACCCAGATGGTTTTGTGGTTAAGGCAGGACTAGAACTTGCAAGTTCCTAATTTCTAGCCCACTGCTTTAGTCTTTATTCCAAACATGCCTTAGACCTGTGATGTGAAGCTATGAAGACCTGCCAAATATTTTCTTTTATGTCATTTTAAACAAAGGTTATGGCCTACCTGTTGCTATCCTGTTCCATCAGTTACAAGTTCAGTTGATCAAACATAGATAAGTGATCATTATGGAATACCAGAGGAACACATAACCTTATTTTTGAAACTGAAATTCCATGCAGACAAATCCAAAATCTAGCAGTTAGCCTTAGATTACTTCACCAAACTGAATCTCATTAATTTGTTTAGTAAATCTTTAATTTTTCTTAGTCAGGAAGAATGCCACAGGAATAATTAACATGTTACCAAAATTAAAAATTGTTTTAAATGATAACAGTTCTTAATGAGAATAAGATAGTAAATGGTTGGCACAAGTTATGGTTTACATGGTCTCACAAAAGATCAGGCTTTAAATTCAACAATTTACAAATTTTAAAAGATAAAGGAGCCTACGGACCTCAGATTTCAACATGTAATTATACCAGCTGCTTAATATGGATTTTTGAATGCATTATATATCTTGATGGTTTTATTACATTTAGAAAAGGGACAAATTTTCCATAGGGGCTTGATAGATACTCTGGGGCTGATATACACAGCAAGAAAACATTTCAAGAATTTATCTAATACTATGTAATTTACTGAATATTTTCAATAAATTTAGGAAATAATAAGCCCAGCATTCTTCCTTCTTGTTTTCCTAATGAATGCTTACTTATATGATCAAGAAAGTTCTAAGAAATTTACTGAACACAGAGGCAATGTTTAGATTACAAGAGTTTATTCTTAACAGGACAAAATAGGTTTACTTAAGATTAATGGGAATATATTGTTAAATTGGTGATACAGAAGATCTAAAGCATGATAACTTTAGGATCGTCTTTTCATAGGCAGTTGATTATCTTTCGATTGATTTTAAAATCAACAGGTTTGGTTGAATTAAATACAACACCTATAACCAATAGTTATAAGCAATATAATATTTTTAGTAACAAGATCCCAGTGTTGTTGATTTCCTTATTTTGCCTTGGAATTGTAGTTAAACTAAGAAAACAATCGATAATTGAATAGAATTATATTTAGGAGGGTCAAGAGAATGGAGAATAACTGAACCATAAGTTATCATGCAAAGATTTCATAACCATATCATCTCTTCTATAAAACAACTAAGATAATAAGGGGGTATTCAGTTTTTACCCATGTTATTTAAGCTTAATCTAATATACGATTGGACATTAGTTACCCAAATTCTCCAGATATTTATTTATAGTGTGAGTGAGAAAGAGAGTGCTTCAGAAATTTAGATTTGAATTTGTTTTCTTTTTCTTATATATTCTAGATCTGAAATGTCATTTTGAAATGCTAGATACAGAAAAAGGAAATCAAACAGGAATTACAGAATTCATCCTTCTGGGTTTTGGGACTTCCCCTAAGATGGAGCCTCTTCTTTTCTGTTTCTTCTTGGTGATTTATTTGACAACAATAACAGGAAATCTTCTCATCTTTCTGCTAGTTGTGACTGACCAGCATCTTCATACCCCAATGTACTTCTTCCTAGCAAATTTGTCTTTTCTGGATACTTGCTATAGCTCTACTTTGCTGCCTAAAATGCTGGTAAACTTGCTAAGAGTTAAGAAAACAATAACTCTGAGTGGATGTCTAGCCCAATTTCATTTCTTCTGTCTTTGTGCAGGTGTAGAAACTTATCTTTTGGCTGCTATGTCTTATGATCGCTATTTGGCAATTTGTAGACCTTTGCTCTATGCTTCTATTATGAATAGGAAGTTCTGTTTCCTACTAATAGTTGGAACATGGATTAATAGCATGATAGTTAATATTATTCTAGTGGGTTTTGTGGCTCAATTATCCTTCTGTGGCCCTAATGTCATAGACCATTACTTTTGTGATTTCCATCCACTGGAGAAATTATCCTGTTCTGACACAAATCTCCTTGATCTTGTCCTTCTTTTCATAAGCATTAGTTTTGCAATTGTTCCCTTTCTGTTGACCTTCCTCTCTTATATTTGGATTATTGGCACTATCATAAAAATCAAATCCAACACTGGAAGGCAAAAAGCCTTTTCAACTTGTTCTTCTCATCTCGTCGTAGTTTGCCTCTTTTATGGCACATTAATCATTGTCTATGTGTTGCCAGATTATCCCACCCTGAGATACCTCAATAAAGTCTTCTCTATTTTCTATACAATGATGACCTCTTTGGCAAACCCCCTAATTTATACTTTAAGAAACAAAGAAGTCCACAAAGCTCTCAGATTACTTTATGGTAAAATTATAATTGTCAGTAGAAATAATTTGAAACTATAAATTTATTTTTAATTTTATTGGCTATTATATTTTGAATTTAAGTGTGAATTAGTAAGGTCAATAATTGGTCCCTATTCTATTTAGCTGTAATGGCTGAAGTTTCTGATTGAGATCATGATGGTTATAACCAGTGCTTTTTTTCTAAAAAAAAAAAAGGTGCCGGAACTCACACACGTTATATAACCCGCCTTGCCTACCCTATAAGGTTCCATCCAAAAAAGGTGCCGGAACTCTGTTCTGGGCATTCTATGAGAAAAAAAGCCTTGGTTATAACACTGAACAGCATCACTTCATACCACTAGGTTAGAAATGGCATTAACTTCCAAATCTCTTGTGATGTTGATACTGGTTAATTGATTGTAGAAAATTGGAATCTTTTATGTAAAATATAGGTATGTTGTTTTCAAAATGAAACTCAAAACAAACTCAGATAATTTTTGAAAAACTCAGATTTTTTGAAAAAAATCTTTACTAATTTATAAATTTTAAATGAGAAATTGAATAAAAGTGTTGATGAATTTATTACAATTGTAAATCAACCTAAAGAAGATATATAAACACAGGCAACAGTAGCTAAATCAGACATGCATTTGGATGGACTGGAAGTTAATCTGCTGATAACAGATTCTAAAGAGAAGATTTGTTTGAAAACTGGAGATTTATTAGAGGGGCATTAATGAACTTTTTAAAAGTTTTATTCATTTATAATGTAAAATGTGAAAATACAAAAGCGAATAGTAAGGGACAATGGTAGAGAAAGGGAAAACAAAAGAGTGTGAAGAAAGGGATATTAAGAAACAAAAGGCATTGACTTCCGACACTCTCTGTTGCATAAAATGCAGTTAGAGGATGACTGTCAAGAAACATTGGATTATAATTGGAAAAAATTGTTGAACAGCCAGTATTATGGAGATATTATCAATGAAGTCCTTCTTTTTTGAAGAATGAGAAGCAGCTGTTTGGAATATTCCATTCATAAATTCAAAGAAAAGCAAAGATGATATACTGGGAGCTGTTTTTATAATAATAATAATAATAATAATAATAATAATAATGATGATGATGATGATGATGATGATGATGATGATGATGATGATGATGATAATGATGATGATGATGATATGACGACTATGACGATGATGATGATGTTAGAAGGGACCTTGTCCAGGCAGGAAACCCTATACCATTTCAGACAAATGGCTGTCCAATCTCTTCTCGAAGACTTCCAGTGTTGGAGCATTCACAGCTTTTGGGGGCAGGTTGTTCCACTGATTAATTGTTCTAACTGTCAGGATGTTTCTCCTTAGTTCTAGGTTGCTTCTCTTTTTGGTTAGTTTCCATCCATTGCTTCTTGTCTTGCCTTCAGGTGCTTTGGAGAATAGCTTGACTCCCTCTTCTTTGTGGCAACCCCTGAGATATTAGAACACTGCTATCATGTCCCCCCTTGCCCTTTTCTTAATTAAACTATTGTCAAGAATCAGTTGATGGTATTTGAACCTGGCCAGATCAGAGACAAAGATAGTGTATTTATGAAACAATAGAAGCCACTTGTAAACTTCTTGTAGGTTAAACATATTAGATTGTTAACAGAGGATTTTGAGATTTAGCTTTGTGATTAGGACAACCTATTAACTGTTTTTTCTTTAGTGAATAGATGGTAGGTCAAATGGCTTAATTGGCAATAGATTTCTAAAATTATGATATTTTTAAATGTTATACAGCAATTTTGCAAATATAGATGTAGAAGTTTATAAATTATGGACTTGTTTCGCAAGGGGGAGGAAACAATTGTTGCTGAAATATTTTTATCAGTGTCCAACTGGGGAGACATTTTGTGTGTATGTTTGATATTTTGTTTTATACAGTTTTTTCTTCCTTTGTTTTTGTATTGTAATTTTTTTATTTTTTCCCTTATTTTGGATTTTAACCTTGAAATAAATAAATAAATAAATAAAGATGTATACTGTAGTTGTTCAAAGTCAAGTAATTTTTTTCCATATATATTTGACATGAAAGGCCAAGGAGAAGGGCAAGTTCATGATAATCACAATACCAGATACAATTGTTTCTTAGTTCCTATGACATTCTAAATAATAGAACAACTGAATTATGGAATCATTTAAGTTTCCTTTTTTTAGCATTATGATATTAAATCAAAATAACATTTTCATATCTTTTGTTTAGAAGTGTCATCATTATTTCCTTAATATTTTGGAATAGATACATAATACTTGAATAGCATTACAAGTTGATAATCTTGTAATTCTTATTTTGTATTTTGATTTTATATTGGCCTTTATCAGTTTTTCTCACTGGGACAGTTTCTTAGGCAGGAAAAGCAATAGTATTGTTATACACTTTATCTCAGAAGATCAGCTATAGCAAATAAGTAATATTTACGACAGCAAGTAATTGTCATGTGTCTGACTAATGAAACACTTCAAAGAATTTTCAGGCATGGTTTAACCTAAAAAAGCCTTTATTAGTGTAGAGTGTGTCAGCACGGCATGATGGATGCCAAGATCTGAATTTCTCTTGCACATAACGTTCCAGGCATTTCCCCTTCCCTATTTTGGGGCCATGATTCACATCTTCCAATTAACCTGGAGGGCAAAGATTCACTTCCGTTCCTTTTCCTGGGCTTTCCTTACAATTCTCCTCCCCTTTCATCTGAATTAACTCTAAAAATACCAGACAGTTCTGCATATTTTGTCAAAGCAAGAATATTCAATATTAGTAGCATTGACATCTGCCCCCCCTTACAAAAAGGACAGATCCTGTAATGTAAACAAAAGCCTATGTTAATGACTAGTTCTTGGTTTATTGGTGTATTTCACATGAAAACATTTGACGAGCCTGTCAGCTTTCACCTCATTGGATTTCACCCAGGTGGCTTCAGACAACGGGTATCCCTTCCATTGTATTAGATACTGCAATTTCCCTTTAAAAATTCTAGAGTCAAGAATACATTTCACTTCATAGTGTGTCTGTCCCGCAACTACGAAGGGCCTCGGTGTCTTCTTCAGGGGAGATCTTAAAGTGGAACCCTGATAAGTTTTCAACAAGCTGCAATAGAAGACTAGGAGAATTCTCCCTAAAAATTTAGGGAGTTTTAGTTCTATGGTGACCGGATTGATGCTCCTTACTATGGGGAAAGGCCCCAAGAATTTTGGTCAGAATTTCTTGCTGGGCAATTTGAGGCGTAAATATTTAGTTGACAAATAAACCTTTTCCCCAACACTTCTTCCCACCCCCTCACCCATTGGTCAAGTGTCTGGGAAGTGGAGGGCACCTGAGGGTATTCAGGTACTGGGCTGAACTCTATTCCTGTGGCCACTCTGAAAGGCGTATAGCCAGTACTGCTGTGCACACAATTATTATATGCCACCTCCACAAAAGGGAGGAGGTCAGTCCAGTCTGTCTGTTTGTAAGAAACGTAGCATCTAAGATATTGCTCCACCATTTTGTTAGCGGATTATGCAGCCCCATTGGTGGCAGGATGAAAAGCAGATGATAAACCTTGAGATGATCCAATTAATTTAATAAAACTCCTCCAAAACTTCGCTGTGAACTGCATCCCCCTGCCCGAAATTATTAGGAGTGCCATGCAGCCTGTAGATATGTTTCAGGAACAATTTGGTCAGTCATTGGGCAGATGGGAGTCCTTTGAAGGTGATGAAATGAGCCTGCTTCGAAAACAGGTCTATCACAGTCTAGATGACAGTATTTCCTCTATTTTCAGGAAGGTCTACTATAAAGTCCATAGCTATTTCTTCCCATGGTTGAGAAGAGTCTGCCATGGGTTGCAGTAACCCAGAGGTTTTCCCTTTTCATTGTGGCATATACAGTACAACTTTTTACATAGTTTTCCACATCCCTTTTCAGCCCCGGCCACCAAAATTGCCCGCGGGTGAGGTGCAGGGTTTTCAAATATCTAAAGTGTCCAGCCTGTTTTACATCATGGCTGTGTTTGAGAGCATTAAGATGGAGAGCTTCTGGCAAATATAGTTTTCCCCCTTTGTAAGCCAAGCCATCGCTGCACGTTAGGGAGGGTTGATTATCTTTGAACCATTGATCGGTGAGGAGCTCTTGTATTATTTTCTTTACCTCAGGGTCATCAGGATGGGGGACTCTGTGAGGTGTAAGTTGAGCAGCAGTTTGTGGATTGGGGATAATTGCCTTGTTAACCTCCTCCCATTCACTTTTGTATTGGGGTAACCGGGATAGCGCATCAGCTAGGAAGTTTTTTCCTACTGGTATGTACTTTAGAGTGAAGTTGAAGCGGTTAAAATACTGTGCCCACTGCACTTGCTTTGGGGACAATTTGTGGGGAGTTTTCAGTGCTTCTAGATTTTTGTGATCTGTCCATACTTCAAATGGCACCTTGCTCCCTTCTAGATAGTGTCGCCAGTTTAATAGCGCCTACCTAATCACGAAGGCCTCTTTCTCCCAGATTGCCCATCTCCGCTCGCTTTCAGTAAATTTCTTAGAGGTGTAGGCACAGGGTTGCAGGACCCTACTTTTGTTCTTTTGTAATAACACAGCTCCAACTGCCACATCACTGGCATTGGATTGAATCACAAAGGGCTCCCCTCGGCTTTAGGACTGGTTCAGCAGCAAATAGTCTCTTTAAATTCTCAAAAGCTGTTGAACAGCCCATTGTCCATACTAGTGGTTGGCCCGGTCATGGCTTCCCTCTTCCTTTGCCTGTTTTGAATAGTTCTGTAAGGGGTAGGGCAATCTCGGCAAAAGAGGAGATGAATTGACGATAAAAGTTGGCAAAACCCAGAAAGCTCTGGAACTGTTTGCAAGTCTTTGGGGGTTGCCATTCAATTATAGCTTTCACCTTGGCTGGATCCATTTCAATGCCCTCGTTGGAAATTCTTTTTTTTATTGAAAAGTTTTATACAATATACATCCCAAGACCCATCCACCCCTACCCCCCCTACCCCACTTCCCAGAGCTGAGTACAGGGTTACAAATAAACAATCAAACTCTAAAAAAACATTACCCAGCTATATAAGTAACCAAGTCCATAACGCACTTTAACTCCCTTATAACATAAATATAAACAAATTAAAGATAAACATAATAATATAAACAAATCAGTATTGTTAAACCATACTAAAACTAATAAAAATTAAAAAAGAAACTATTAATAATACTCTAAAGTTTACTCATAGACTAAATATAACTTGTTAATCCCATATTTATTCTGAATATAATCTATCCATCTTCTCCAAACCGAAATATATCTTTCTTGTGAGTGATCCTTTAAGTAAGCAGAAATTTTTGCCATTTCTGCTAAATTTGACACCTTAAGCATCCAATCTTCTATAGTAGGCAAAGAATCTTTTTCCAATATTGCCCTACTAATAACCTTGCAGCTGTTATAAGATTCAACATCAAATTAGTTTCTTGGGCATCACAATCTACAATAACACCCAGCAAAAATAGTTGTGGCATGAACTTTATCTTTCTTTTAAAAATCTTTTGAATGTTCCACCAAATCTTAATCCAAAAAGCTTTTATATTTCTACAAGTCCACCAAATATGAAAATAGGTTGCATCCAAGCTACCACATCTCCAGCATTTGGGTTGTAAATTGGGATACATATAAGACAGCTTTTTGGAATCCAAATGCCACCTATAAAACATTTTATAAAAATTTTCTCTTAAATTTTGAGCCTGAGTAAATTTTACATTTCTAACCCAAATTACCTCCCATGTATCCAATAAAATCAGTTCTTGAATATTTTGAGCCCATTTTATCATACAATCTTTAACTAAATCCATTTAAGAATCCAATTCTATTAAAACATTGTAAATTCTCTTTATGTGGGCTCGATTTTGATCTTTAATCTGTTTTACCAAATTCTCATCCCCTAAAGTAATACCAACCTTTTGATCTAAGCTCCACCTAACCAACAATTGGTTATACGGAAACCAAGACTGTACAATATTTTCTTGCTTTAATTCAGCTAAAGATTTTAATTGCCAATCCTTCCCTACCAATCTAAGTAATTCCTTATAAGAAATCCTATCCAAGTTCATACCCCTAGATAACTCCTCTATCACGTGTCCAGGAATCCCCCAA